ATAATCGTAATGAAAACTTGACACCCGCGTCGTGCGTTCTTCTCGCACGGCACCGGCGAGAATTACGGGGATAATCGTAATGAAAACTCGACACCTCTCGCGGCGCCAGCAAATTGCGAGATATTAAGCGTAATTATACCTTTTACGGGTGTAATGAGTGCAATTTCGTCGCGTCAAACAAATTGAAATCTTGATACAAACGGTTCGGATTCTCATCCGTCTTTCCCGCTCGTATGTTTAATTCGGAATAATTAACTTACGTCGCGGAATTTCAATATTAAAATCACGGTCGAGGAAACGTTCCCGACAGTCGCATAAATTATTGCGCAATTCTGCTCAACGAAGTGGACAAATACGATGAAATTTGAAGGAAAATAACCTTGCGCTGCGCATAATGCCGAGTGCCGACTTTCCCGCATTATTAGTTTAGCAGAAAAGAGCAGCTCGTAAACAGCTGGCCGGTCGCCAGGGAGGGACACGCAATTCGCATAATTCCGTGTCTCTTTTATCGTCAAGCCCTACGGAATAAAGGGCGATTGTATAAAGACGAGTTACGTTTTTAGGAGGGCGAAAAATTGGTACGTGATGACAGTGGGATCGCCAAACACAGAAAAGTTCTCCGAATGCTGGTACAAGGTGCCATAAGCGCGAGTGGGACGACCGTAAACTTTTACATTCGCATGCAAATTCTCCCTGAAACGATCCCGAAAACGAATACACTTATATGCATATAAAACCGCCGTCGTGCACTTGGACCAGAAGCACTTTGAGCCGTTTGCCGAAACGTTAGAAACCGGTTAGTCCGTAATACGGAATAAGTTGCGCCACAAATATAAATCCCGACCGTAAGGCTGTGACGGGAAGATTAATTTATCGACAACTACTAAAAAATTGCCCGTTCAATGCGCTATTATGCAGTTTTGGGGATTAATGACGCGATGCACATTCGCGTGTAATCGCATTGTTCCGACGTGTATTTTTAACCCACGTCGCGATGGAATACGTTTACTTTTCATTTTCTCCAAACGAAACATTGAATGTTAACATTTTTTATTTTTGTTTTGAATGATATGTAAACTCACGTACGGTGCATGTTAACAATAGAATCGTTAGATCCCGAAGTTGCGCCCATGGGCACAACGCTGTGCCATCGAAATATTCTGGTTTTTCACCCAATTTCGTATCGAAATGGAAAACTATTTTTTGGCGCAAGAAAATAACCGGATCCCCGGAGAAAAATATATTTTTGACCCGGATTTGTATTTTAAAGTGACGCGAAAATGCTCTTGCGCTGTAGATTAACAAAAAGAGCTAGAAATAAAATTAAAAAATCGCCGCTAAATTTTTAATTCCACGCATCGCAAGTTCGGTTTGTTCAAAAGTTTAATGTTATTTGTATATACAGATGTTTGACGATCAAAAAGTCTATTCTTACCGCGTGGAAGAAAACCTTGTAAAGCGCGGAATGTCGCATTTTCATTTCCAAGGAAATTTTTACGTTGGCTTTTGCGAACAAAAATTGTCAAATCTGACCGAGTGAAAAGTCAATCAAGTTACTTCGTTCTGCGAATAGAGAATCATCCGCACACCAATCGTTCCAATCCTGAAAATTGAGTCTATTTTTCCGGGGGCAAAAAGAGGCCGAGATGGAAAAGGAAACGGATGGCCGGCTTGTCTGCCTATTCACGATTTTAAAAACTTGTGCCATACCTGTCGATTGTTTTCTGTCAGACGAAAAATAGTCCGCGTTCAAAGGACGAAATTAAAAATTTACGCAAAACCATTACAGTACCCGATAAACGACACAAGTTACACGATATAGCATTTCCCATCAATCTCTCGCGGTTCTTTCATACGTAGGCTCTTTGATCAAAGCGGAATCAATTTTTCTTTGACCGAAGCTTGATAAGCATTTTTTTTCGTAAATATTCCATTTTCAGTTTTGTTAATTACAGTTGTGTAATTTCTAATCGGTCCGTTAAAAGAGGAAATATTACAAAAGATCGATTCAAGGAATTTATTTTAATTTTAGGCTAAATTAGAAAGCAAACGGTTTCTCATTTATAATCGCTAATTACCGAAACTATTTCTGCTTTGACAAGTTTACCCAATAGTAGCAAAATGGCGTCAGATAATGGAATACCACACAGATCAATGAACATTCGCGACATAGCGCAGCAATTAATATTTGCAACTAATATAATTAATATTCATCGATGATATGATTATTACAATAATTATGAATTATTCATTAAGCATCAAATATCAACCAAGTTCGTTCTGCAATATTATGCAATGCAGTCTAAAGAACGCATATTATGGCGAATGATAGGGATTTAATGAGATAAACGATATCCGTAACGATGGAACGTAAATGATCCTCAAAAGTACAGCACGCATCGAAACCGTGTAATAGGAAGTTAAATCATTATATTGCAATATATCTCGTCCAAATATGATTCCATTTTCCTCGAAATGACAATGATGCGAACAATTGGTATGCGCGAATCACGTGAGCCAATGGCAACAAACGGATGGAGGTACATTAGTCTTTGAATACACTATCATAAAATTATCTTATCTGCAACGACTTCATGCCTCAAATAGCAACTAACAAACCTTTGTTGCTGAAACTAAATCATATACGCACGCGCGCGATGTCTTTCCACGTGATATATTAAGCTTTTGTTAAATAATTTTTCACAATTAAGCGAAAATCAAGTATTTCGACCTCAATTTTATTTTATCGACGGGTGATTCGCAGTATTTTTATTATTCGAAATAATTTATAGTTTTAAAAATATATTGCCAGTTATAATCAGGTCGTATACAGATTCGAGTGGCTAGAAAACCATGCGATAAACTGCAGTCGCAAGGGCTGGTCTACGATACATGGAGTGATCCTGGCGTAAGGAGTGAATCAATTTTATTTTTTAGTCTCACTTCATTCGCTTACTCTCTACGCATCGGAGCGCGATCAATGCTACAAATATTTTAGAACTTATGCCTGTATTTTCTTTCACGTCAAAAGGTTAAGAGATTATGGTTCGCTTAAGGACCGTCTACAATAGATGAAGTAAGCCTGGCGTAAGAAACAAAAGTAGAAGTAAAGCAACGAATCAATCCCTTTTCTTACTCCTATTTCAGCTCTGACGCTTATTTTCGACGAATTAGAATCCAGCTCGACCAGTGCTATAAAATATTTTAAAAAATTATCCCTGTACTTTACACTGAAAGGTTAAGGTAAGAGGTGGTCTACAACCTTGCTTTAGGTAAGCTGTAAGCCTTAAGCCGTAAGAAATTAACCAATCACGGGTGAGGGTGAGGGGAATAAATGCCTGTGATTGATTAATTTCTTACGGCTTAAGGCTTACAGCTTAAAGCAAGGTTGTAGACCAACACTAATGGTTTTCTTACTTCTTACTGCTTAAGCCAACGGCACACGACACTATTTTTTCTACTGGATTGCTTACGAGAACCAATAAGGACGTTTTAGATCAGGTGGCTCAAGGCTAAATCCTGATTGGCTCTCGTAAGCAATTCAACAGGAAAAATAGTATTATGTGCCGTTAGCTTTATTTCCAATGTAGACGGTCCTTTACGTCTACTCTTACCCCTTACTCCAGACTTACGTGCTGTAGGCCAGCCTTTAACATCGAACTCGACGTAAGACTGCAAGAAGTCGATATCTTACAACACGCTTTTCGAGGTTACGCGAGTCTCCATCGCGTACAATCGTACATGAACGTAGTACGTGTACATGGACCCCCAACCTATGTGAATTGGTGAAGCAAAACTGAGAGAGAGAGAGAGAGAGAGAGAGCAAGAATAAAGAATAAAATTGACACATGTTATCAAAGATACAAGAGGGGACTCCAGTTTGAGGTAAAATTATTTGGAAAGACTGTTCATGTGTCACAGACGCGCCAAGGTACATTACGCGAGACGTGAGAGCACGTTTATTCTCGCTCCTTCTTTCCGTTTTGCTGACTTTGCTTATTTGCATTGGACATGCTGGGCGTCGCGAGATCAAGCGGGAAAACGGGAGAGGAGAGACAGAGAGGGAGAGAGAGCACTCGCGAAGCCCGCGTTAACTTGAACGACTCTCCGAAGCGTCTCGGATTTTAGCGATACACTCGGTGAACGTCTCGCGACAACAGCCAACGCGCTATAAAACCGTAAGAGCCCGTCATCGGGCTCTCAGCTGTCCGTGAAACGCGACGCGCGATCCGTCGGAAGGTCAACGCGCCGAGACATCCCGCAGCAGCACGTGCTGTTCCGAAAACACGTGTTTCCCCCCTCCCGCCGCCGCGCATGGAAACATTCACCGAAGTCTTCCTTCTATCGGCACAACGTATGAATGGAGCGTGCGAGTGCCGCGCGGAAACCAAGTGAACGTACGCGCGTCTTTTAATCGTCACGCGACCAATTCCAAGTCTCGATAAAACGCGCAGCTACACGAGCTCGGGGAACCGTAACGGTATTCGTAGCAGCGAGGCCGCGGGCGCCACTTACGTCGTTTCGGCGATCAAACGTTACGAGAGATTGTGCAAGCGAAAGAAAGCGTTGAAATGCGCACGAGAGCTGTCATTAAACGCGATCGCGGGTCCGGCGGGTAACGGACGGCTACGGCGTCGCGCAACGTGTGCGAGAGAGAGACGGAGCGAACACGTGCGGACGCACGCGACGGACGCTACCGCGAGAGTGACGGCGACCGCGGGACCCGACGCGCTCGACTCCGACTCGTTCCCTTCGGCGAGGTAAAAAAAAAAAAGAGCCTCGTCCGGGGAACGCGCTGGAAACTGGAGGAGCGCGATCGGCGAGCGCGAAAGTGTCGGGCGAGGATCGGCGGCGAGACGCGCGGAGACGTCGCGTACGCGCGCGGACGGGAAAGCGGAGCGAGGAGAGAACGGGCCAGAAAACGGACGCGCGCGCGCGCGCGCGCGCCGTGGAGAGGTTAGAATCGGTCGCTCGTGACAACAACGCACAGCAGCGCTTACCTCGTGCGCCCGGGGGTGCTGGTGATCGCAGTGACGGTGCTCGAACATCCCGCCTACCGGGGCCAACACGGCGCACACCGCGAGCAGGGCGGCGAGCGGCGACACGCCGGTGCCGCGGCGCATCTTCAACCGCACTCGAGCCGCCATCACGGACGACGCGCGCGCTCGCAAGGCATGACACATACTGAGCGCGCCCGCCGGCGCCACGCATTTATATGGCCGGCGCGGCGGCCGGCAGCGCCGCGCAACTCACGTTCGATACCCCGAGCGCGGCGACGACGGCGACGGCAGCGGTGGTGGTGGTGGAGACGACACTCCGGCGACGACGACGACGACGACGGTGACGCTGGGATAAACCCCTCGTCGTAAAGAACCTGCGAAGAAATCGAAGGACTTTGTTGTACGACGGTGAGGTAAGCTTAAATTTAATGCGACACGGACGCTCTTATTCGCTGTTTAATAATGAACGGCGCAACTAATGGGAGCAACCGTCTTACGCTCGCACCTCTGTTCAAGAGGATGTACACAAAAGCTCGAAGTAAAAAGAAACGACGCACAGTCTTGGACAAAATTATCAATGCAAATCTAGGTGCGTTACTTTTGCGCAGTTGGAAAATTTGTTGTAAAATTATTAAAATAACTGGAAAGAAATGTCAAAGCAACACAATGTGTACTTATCTTTTAATCTGACACAATGCATATGTTCTATTTTATTAGTAACAAAATTTATCTGTTAAAATTTACGGAATAAAATGTTGATTATATTCTATATAACATAAGCGAGAGTGATTTCGAACCGTCAGTCGACTTATTACATCTGTAAAATGTAAAAATTACATGTTTCAAAATTCATTTTGTCATTACAAATATGTTAATTTTACATAAAATTTATTTCAAATTACTTTGAGATTTGCATTTATTTTATGTTGAAATATTAACAGAGTATTAGTGCGATCAATTAACATATCCATATTATGTTAAATTAACACAAAAATGTATGTGGACCGTTTGGGACACGTGATATCTGTTAAATTTAACACAAAATTTTCAACTGTGTGTACACGTGTGTGTAATTTGGGGTGAAGTACTTTTATACTTCTTTCCGTTTAAAAATGATCTTTTTAATACGACAAGAAATATGAAATATGAAAAATGACATATATCAAGTGATATGTTGCGATATCTCAGCGAAAAGAAGTGTGTAAAAATACTTGATCGAATTATACATACACATATGTATATAAAAGTCACTTTCAGATTTGCAGTGCATATTGCACTGAATCTATAATACCAGTAAGATTTAAAAGTTGTATACTACAAGCAATGAACAAACCTGGCAAACGTTTAAAAAATAGAAAGCTTTCACGTATTGAATTCAGTATAGTATAATGATTAGGAGGGCGCCTAATAATTTTGTCTAAGACTGTATTAATGTTTGCCTAAAGTTGAATTATAAAAGTAAGACGTACAATTTATATTTCACAGTATTTGCATGTGCACGTGTCCGAGATGTTAATATCTGTGATTGTGATAACGCCATAAAAGAATATCGAGCAAAAGATTATTTAAGTGCGAAAATACTCTGGGGGAAAAAAGACAGCAACCCATTTTGGGGTCCACAATTAGCAATCGGATTATTTGGATTGTTCGTAACTCAAATCTTTTACGAATTTTACCCCGCGTAATTAAAAATCACAATTAGCTATTCTATCTATATCAAAGATTTTTAAGTGATACTATTTTTTTTATTATTTTAAAACAAAACGCTATAATTTACATATTTGCTCTCATTTTTATTCATTTATCGAGTGCTTAAGGATATTTTAAGCTTTCGCGATTCGAGAGAACACCAGTAAACAAATACTAAATATCACATTTTTACTTCGACGTTCCCAGCGTAACAAATACGATTTTTCGCTTGTTTGTGTATTTTTGCAAATGATTATTTAATCCTTTCAACGGTGAAACGCGTATTCACAGTATTTTCGTAAAATATTCAGCGTAACTCGACGTACGATTGGAGAAAATTAGCTTTAGAAGATTAAACAAGTTAATTGTAGAATAGATGCATATACTGACCTTTTAAAATACACATTTCTAATTTAAAATATTTATTAGAGGCAAACTATTTTGGATAAAAGGTAATCATTTTAATATAGAGTAACTCGATATTTTCTTCAAGAAGTAAAACTTTTCAATATAGATTAGAAAAGAGGACCAATATCTGAGCAACACTCAATAACAGCTTCATAATAAATCAATGCAAATAATGAAATAAAAGTAAATTTTAAGATTATTAAGGGTATGCTGCGGGGATGCTGCAGTGATTCTGCACTTTTTGCACCTTTTCGAGAACAACCTGATATCATTGAAATTAAGTTTAGAAGTCTAACAAAAAATCCATTCGTTCGAAGACTTATTTCTTACGTTGGGTAACCCATGACTTATTCACTAAGTTATAGGTTATAGGTTACCTGACAACAAATCTATTTATTCCAATAAGTTATAGGTAATATATTTTTTGTTAGACTTCTAAACTTAATTTCAATACCATGCTGTTCTCTGATTTAATCCGATCAGCGGAAACTGGTCGGTCAGTATAATTTACTGAATATTGGAATAAACATTTTGCTACACCGATATATACCATAAATTAAAGGAAATGAAATTAATAACGATAGGATAGATCGGTACTATTTCGCTCATTGTCAGTTAAAGGGGAAAAATCGAATAAAACGTTGTCCAAAATAAATAGGAGCTTTTCAATTTTGCATGTAGCGAAGAGCTTTTGTCTCAAATTTTTTATCCTAGTTTTCCTTTAACCGAGCCGAATAGTTTCCCTACCCTAATTCAAAAAGTCACGGTGGATTTTGAAAATTTCATTCAATTAAAGAGACCAAACATTCTATTTTAAGTATGTTGATATCCGTCGTGTCGGTCTCTAGCCGACTTGTTAATTGTTAGTTACATATTTCGAAGAGTCTAAATGCGTCCTTTTTGCACACGTGACCGAAGGAAATCACTTCAAAGAGGTCAAAATAATATTGTGAGTGACAATATCATTTGCTTCATAGGAAATGACAAGGTGGACGAATTCTCGAGTAGAGACTCGACCCTGAGATCTCAAACTGTGCGCACAATAAAGTTTATCTCTCTGCGTCAAATACGCTTATTGTCTCTCTACGTCGAAACGTTCGTCTCTAACTACATAAAAAGATTTCTACTTAATAAAGAAAATTAATCATAGCAATATTACTGTGATAATTATTACATAATAATTAGCGAAAATGACGTGAGTCATCGAAACTGATACGAGTGCAAAATGAGAAATTATTCATAGCTGTCTCGCATTTTATTTCAAAAGATGTGGTATTCATATTTATTAAATGCATGTAATTATCCTCCTCTCGAGTTCATCTAGGGTTTCAAGCGTTAAAGGTAAATTGGCAAAATTTCAATAGGGTTTTATCAATAAATAAAATGTACATGCACATGAATGGAACGTTTGCGCGGGACCAAACGTCGAAAATATTCGTAAAATCGCAAGCACCTTGTAAGCGACTGTGCGAATAAAGAAAACGATCAAGCTTGATATGTAAAATGCAGTAATCTTCTTGTATAGAAACAATAGGATTATTACGGTCTGATCTATCAAGCTTAACGTGCGGTAATTTTCTTGTATAGCAATAATAGAATTATTACGATCTGAGTGCCGCGATGTTTTTAGAAGACAAAGCCGGCGAGCAAGTAAAGAAGAAGCGTAAAAACGAGATCGCTGATGCGACACCTGATGTATTTACAATCGTAGTTTTTTTAGTTGGTTAAAAGAATAAAATACACCGAATGCGGAAATTCGAGAACGCAGTATACCGAAGAGCAAAAATTAACGAAAACTATAGATGTTATTGACAAGAGCTATTGCGTATTTATTTAAGAGCCAGTGCTATTACATCAGCTATCCTGGATTATGTTGGGTGTAGAGAGATAAACGAAAATTATTCAAGCGGTATGTCCGTATGAAAAGAAATAAAAACGTTTTGTTAACAAATCTGCTTTAGCTGTTGATTTCTAGGGGAATTTTGCGAGGGATTTACGAAATGAAACAAGTATTATAATTTATTCGATATTATTTGCACGATTTCCCACAAATATAATACATGTATGTATAGTCCATTGCATCTGTTCATTTTCACTCAATTATTAACAAATCATTATATAACATTACACATAATTGATATAGCAAATTATACAAATTATCATTATTCGTACTTAAATATAATATTTATAATTATGATTGTGCGCGGGCGTCGTTGCATAAATTAATTTTTACAGATCTTAGCGTACCATTCCTTGCTCGCAGCGCAGCTTAAATTCACGCAATGAGGACATCGTGTTAAAAATTTCGGATTTACAGACTGTTTCGATCTCAGGTGAGACGCAACGATGTCCGTCAAAGCATCGATGAAAATAGGGTGGTCGTTAGGCGCAGCAGCCCTTCGTATTCTCTCGATACCGAGCTGGAATGATTAAACATAAAATATCCTTCGTTCGTTGTATTAGACAGTAAAGATACGTCGGCACTTCTTACTTCTTCCGCAAGTTCTCGGCAATACTCTATGTCCAACTCGTGAAGAGTTTCAATATGCTCGTTTACAAATGCGATTGGTACCAAAATGAAATTTTTCTTGCCCTGCTTTACGTAGCCCTTTAACGCTTCGTCGGTGAAGGGTCCCAGCCACGCCGTCGGTCCAACCTAAATACATCTCGTGATACATAACGCACTACCTTCGCTAAGCCGGCTAAATTTCATCAAATTTCAACGACATTTTACAGCACTTATATACCTTTGACTGCCACACTAAGCTGTACGGATTGCAGTAATTTAACTCCTGCATTACTAACGCAACTGTGGCGCCGACTTCCGCGGGATAAGAATCTCCTCTGTTTACAACCTAATTATGAGAGAAGACAATCAGGCCAATTTCCGAGAGTGGTCACTAGACTAAATGTACACTGATTCGCAATGACAACCTGCAGTGGCAAGGAATGAGCTGAAAATAAAATTATCACGTCGTCCCTCTTTTCGCTAGGAAATTGCGCCAGCTCCTCTTTAATCCTTTCGACAAATGTTTTCACAAGAAGCGGGTGCGTGGCCCATCTATCGATCACGCTCCATTTCATGTCATTCGGTGACTCTCTGCAAAGCAATTTCTGCTCTTGTGTTCCGTGTGTACAATATATATATATTCGTATTTCAAAATATTCTATTTTCTAGATTATATCTTACACATTAGAACAATAGGCAGTAATTTCATTTATATAATTAATTTTAATTAATATTTTAATTAATATTAAACATAAATTCAAATTATCTGCGTTTATTGCGCGAATATATCGTGCAATAGTATATCACCGAATATGTGCCGCATCTGTAATTTTGAATAAATCCGCCTAATCTAATGTGTGAAAAATAGATGACAAAAACAATTTCATATCGACCTGCAATTAATCTTATCCATGCTAAAAGCGGATTGAACATAATAATCACCTAGTCTTGTAATAATTGTATATAGCATTAAAACTGGAGCCCGAGGTTGAGCAACTATACTGGGGATACTGTGAAAAAAGTACAGTGTGCCGCACCCCATCGCTGAAAAAAAAGCACAACTCATTCAAATTATCTTCCGAAATATTCATGCCGTCGCAATCATCGCTTGTATTCAGGGATTGCATTACAAGTCTAAGAAAATAATAAACAACCGTACTTGCGTATCCTCTCAAGAGCATCTTCCGTGAGAGGATCTGCGTACCGAAAGGCAACGTAATATTTGTGGGGCGCGGTTTCGGGCGAAATTTTATCCAGCTGTTTGCATAAAAGTTCGCCCTGCTTATTCGTCCACTGTAGAATCGGCGACCCACCGCCGATCTCCGAGTACTTTTTCTGTACTTCCGGCGTACGTCGCTTGGCTATCCAAGGGCCTAATTTACTGCAACACACTTCTGTAGAAGAGATCTCATAACACCCGCCACCGTATCACGACATATCTATAAAAATTTAGATCGAAACCTTTGAACTGGTAGTTGGATCATGTCACGATCGGTCATTATTCTTAACAAATATTCATGGACCTGATCGGTATTGGCGGGACCGCCCATATTCAACATTAGCACACCGGTCTTTGGCCTTACACCGTCCTGGCCTGCTGGGTTTGCGGCGACGGAAGCGTAGCATCGCGCTACAGCGGTAGATTTCGTGAATTGTTGCCCTGTACAACATTACATTGCAATTACCTGGTACTCTTTTAGTCACTGTAAGTAGACAACTGTCAAGAACACATGAAAATGACGAGTATGAAGCAGAACATAAGACTGTATCATATTCAAACTGTAGCTTACGGTTGGCGACGCGTTTCGTGAAACATAATAGCTTTCATAAATTCAAAATCTGTAATGTTGAAGAAGTCCAGAGATAAAAAGCAATGAACGTGTTATCATTTTACAGCAAATTCAGTTGCTTGCACTAGTGCGCACTGAGTGCGTACCGAGACCTGTTCACAGTCAAGTCCTATATTTAAGGATCGCCTTAAGTATCTTCTTGAAATATTTTTTAACCAGTAGAATGATCTGTGACTACGTTTTGGCTGAATACTCTTTGAACGTGTATTTGAGACAAAGGATGCGTTTTGTTTCACGCATGATGCATCATTTGTCCTAGTTATTCGCCAAATGTTAAAGAAGGATAAATGATGTATCCTGCGTGAAACGGAACGAACCGAAAGTCAAATACAAGAATTGACTGTACACAAGCTTCAGCGTGCGCTCAGTGCGCGCTGGTGCAAGCAATCGAATTCGCTATCAAATAGCGAGGTGTGTTCCAAGTCCGGCGCTAGCACACGGCTAAAAAATTTCCAGACGCCGAGCGCGATAAAAGGGGGGGGGGGATTTATCGTCCCGCCGCCGTTACTTGACGTCACGCAGGGATCGTCTTATTGTTGCCGCGAGATGTGACTTGAAATATTCGGGGTCTGTTTACTCACCGAGACACAACAGGCTCGTCAACGGGTTCTTAACGCGCATGTTTGAGTAGCACTTAACAAGCCAGGCTGAAAAGTTACAAAATTGCAACGTTAAGGTTATCGCGATGCGTTGCGAGAGTTGTGCACCGTCACGATAAACAGTAAATCATGCCGTTAGATAAGAGCGAGTCTGATCACCGCGACTAGGGTAGGTTAGGTTAGGTTAGGTTCGACGCCACGCAACTGAATTTACGTGCGATGACGCGTAACTCGAGATCGTGTACAGAGATCCGGTGTGCGACTTTTCACCGGGATTTCTAATCCTACGGAGATATCCGCCTCCTCGGTCAAACAAATAAACGGCAGTTTCGCGCCAGCTGAGACTATTTGACGCGACACCAACGAAGAGTAAAAACGTGCGCGATTCAATTTCACATGTCAATCGCGCGATTGTGTCAATATTGTATTACGTGATCTCCGGCAGGTGCATCCGTTTCCTGAAAGAGAAATTCTTTAAGTAAATACCCGCGAGAAACGAGCGAAGATCCTCCTCGCAACGTGGACGTCTGGAATTGACGGCTCTGTATTTAGCGCCACGGCTACCAGATAGCGCTGTAAACACCCGCACTGGCCACGCAATGCGTTACAAAATATTAAATACAACAAAATGCCCAAATACTTAGATACGTAGCTACGTGAGAAAGTAAACCAAGCTTCTATTCTTGCCTCGCCTTGGCAAAATCCCATTTAAGTTATCGAGTCTATGGGGAAATCGCGTTCCACGGGAATTCATTTGTATATTCGTCGATACGCGACATCAACGTAAAAATTTGAGGAACCAAAGGGCTCCATTTTCGTCAATTTCTTCAGCGTCGTATCAACTTGATCCACAATTCGTTCTGGGGCTCGATCGTGATTCTTTGCCTCCAGCACGTGGTCGTGCAAAAGTGGAAAGCTTCGGCGACGAATATCGAGCTCGAAGAGAAAACGATTAATGGACCGAGCCCCGGAGCGTGAATCGCTTTAAAGGGCGCGCATCCCCGTATGTTTATTTACAAACAAAGCGGCGTGCGCGCGGAGTATACGGTGCCGCCACCTCGCCGCGAAATGTCGAAGCGAAACGGAATCTCACGCTCCACGTTGAGACCTCGTTACGCCGGCTCGCGAATATTACATTACGCCCGGCTGCCAACCGACGCCAATTTTCCGCGGCGATCAACCACCGTTGGTCGAGCGAGCGCGCGCACTCGGTTCTCAGGTCCACGCTCAAACATATCGCCAGCGCGAGGGTCTCTCGTCGCGTTCGTCGGGCCGGTGTGGAACAATGACAGAGCGGTCGAGCGAGGAGCTGACGTCGTCGGACCTGGGCACCCTCGAGTTGTAAGTTATACGTACCGTGACGGCGCGACACCCGTTGTGCATCACTCGCCGCTTTTCTGACGCCTGGCCTCTTTCTTGTCACGCCGCAGCTGGGAGAGCGCGTACGCGCAAGAGCTCGACAACTTCCGCGACCACGGCGACGTGGGCGAGATATGGTTCGGCGCGGCGAACGCACGCAGGGTCGTACGGTAAGCGGAGGAGGGGAGGCCGGCACGCGCGAACACGCCGTTGGTCTTCGCACCGCTGGCAAACAGCACCGCCAAGCACCGCCGGAATGATCGATGAGTCCTTTCCCGCGGAAACGCGAGAACAGCCGCGACGCGAATCGCCAACGTTTCCCCCGCGCGACACTAGCGGCGACATCTGCGGGAGCGGGTGGCGGCTGCTTCGCGCTGCTCCGTCGATAAGATCGCTTGGATTTTGAATTGGTCCCGCGGTAGTTTTTTTTTTTTTTTTTTACCGCGGATAACTGCGAGCCACGCTATAGGTGCGGAAATAAATTCACGATTGCCGAACTCTGTTACTTGAAAGTACTTTAAAGAAATAGATGAAAAGACGAAGAAATTTGAGCGATTTCATCCTTTAGCAACAAAAAGTAATTTTTATCAAAAGTAAATTACTCCTTTACTTTGACTCCGTTACTTTGATAGTTCTAGTATTAACAAATATTTTTTAAGTATTGAATATTTATGATACAGTCCGAGACAATTCAAATGGTCAAAAATCGTATAAAAGTTTTCGGTCTGATATCTTGTTATTTCAATCCTATGTTCGTGAAATGAATAAATTCTTCATATTATAATTTATGTATGCGTTGAATGTAATATGCAATATATAAAAAAAAAACTGTGCCGAAAGAAAATAATTAATTTTCTCTGAAACTCAGTTTGCTCGAAAACAATTTCCAGTACTTTTTTTTAAGATACTCGAGGTAGACAAAAGCAAATAATAATGATTGAAGATGGTTGTAGCCTCAGAGGTATCAGAACTCGCGTAATCAGAGTCACTTTCTAGATGGATCGCCACGAAATTGGATTTGAACAAAGAGAAAGATAAGATAATCGACGTAGGATGCGGCAACGCGATGACTCTGGTGGAACTCGCGAAGGAGGGATTCGCGAACCTGACGGGGGTGGATTACTCACAGAGAGGAGTGGACTTGGCCCGCGTGGTGCTGAACGATAACAATTTGCCGAATGTAAAGATAGAGATCTGCGACATACTCGACAACGCATTGCCGCACGATTTTCAAGTCGTCCATGACAAGGGCACTTACGACGCTATTAGCTTAAGTCCGGACGATCCGGCGGCAAAGCGACAGAAATATGTAGAAAATATATACCGTATCCTTTTGCCAGGTGGATATTTCGTCTTGACGTCGTGTAACTGGACCAGAGAAGAATTGCTCAAGCACTTTACGAGCCGTCAGTATAATTATTAGTTCAAACTTTAGTAGTAAAAACTGTTTTTTGAAGCAGTCAAACTATAATATGATATTAACTTAAATATTTATTAAAAATTAATGGTAGTGTTGTTACGTATTATTTATATTGTTGTAATATTCTCGCGATGAAACTTATCGCTGACGCGATTTCTTGGATTATTTTATCGAAGACAGGTGTTTTTCTCGCAAAGGAAATTATCGCTTTCACATGATTATCTTTGAAATATTGGAAGATGATGTCTCGGTATGTACGTGCGTTGTGATGATTGTTTGCAGATTTCGAACTCGATGGTCAACTTCCTACGGATACGTTCCAGTTCGGTGGGCAGACGGGAAACACTGTAACACAATTGGTATTTAGAAAAAAATTATGACCACCTCGGGATAAATAAAATAATTGTTTCTACTTTGAGGAGATTTCAATTTTATCTTTCGTACCTTTTCAAAGAATAAACACGTATTGCGAAAAGGTTCAAGGATTTATTTGTGCAAGAAATATTGGAATACATAAACCGACATTAGAATGATTAATAGCTAGCACTAGGCTTTCTTGATCGTTATCACATTACAAAGTTTACAAAAGATACTTACATTATAATAAATTAAACTATGCGACTAATCTATGCGATTACTAAATGTAGAACAGCGGAGAAATAAATCTATATTATTTACCAAATTCATTTACGATAACAATTGGCAAAAATGTATATTCTTCGCAAGAACTTATTCGCACATTCAGATTGATTTCCAGATTTAAGACGGCATTGCTGCAACGTTTGACGCAACGATTTAATTATTATTGAATTTTAAGGATTAGAATTCTGCAATATTTGGAAAATTGTGATTTGCAACTTTAGAAGAATTTTAAGTGAACATTCTATTAATATTTTTTAATCGTATACTTGGTGCATTAAGAAAAATGTGACTTAAGAGTAAATTATTCTATTAATACGTGCATCTTTATGACTTTTGTCCTTTAGAATACAGTTAAAATACTAAGCTTAATGTACACTGCAAAAACTTCCTATCAAAGCGTTATTCCGCTACCTTAGATTCTAAAGATAGTCAAATTCGACTAATAATAAATTTTATCTGAATAAGTTAACGTTGTATATTTTTTAGGGCCGGTTGTTCCAAACTCTTGGTAAGTTAAGTCGTACATATATCTTTTTCCGTCAAATTATATAAAGATAGACGTATAATTTTACTATCAGCTTACCAACAGGTTGGAAAAACCGACCCCTAGTCTTTCACATTCGCATTGATCAGAACAGAATAAAAATAAAATAATGAAATGGTAGACTGTATTCACAACAAAACGAACACGGAAAATTTATATAAAATAATGAATTTGGTGTTTATCCTAATTTAATTGCCATTATAACTACAGCTTTTTTCTAATTGTAATAACTTTAGAGTGCTTGATGTACTAAGAATGTAAACGAGCACCTATAAAGGATCGATTGCTTATTTACGGTTGATTAACAATCAAGGACTACATTTTTTTAACGATTGCAACGCTCGCGAACATCATCTTGTCTTTGTTTAACTTTCGGTAAGAAACAAGGATGAAATAATTCTACGGACGTCGCAGTCGTTAAGTGGAACGTAGCCAAGTTGTGTGATTCAGAATTAACGTTCACTTTTTAACATTTCATTACGAACCTAAATTGTATGTTAATTAAATTACATTGTCGTCACGGTAATATAAAACATAATTAATGGTAATATTTATAAATATGAATAAAAATTATTCACACGCGGCAAAATTGCTTATTTTCGCGAATTTCTAAAAGCAACTAGAAACTTTGAACCGCTCATTTTTCCTGTAGAAAATGCGAAAATAATTAAATTTTCATAATTTAAACAACATTTTATGTATCTTATCGCCAGCTGTATAAGACTTGTAGATTATAACTCGATACATCTACTGTAAAATAATTGAATATGCAGATAATTTCCTAAGTTTAAGGGGGAAATGAAAAGAAAATACTAAAAATACTAAATTGTACATTATACACCTGCAACATATAATGCATCTTCAACATCAAACTTTTCTAGAAACCGCACATTTTCTTTGAGCTACAAATAAAATAATGACAATTATTTTAATATGAGGCAATTAGTAATTATATTACTTAAAACATGATAGTATCATAAAGTAACATAATTGAAATAGGTTACACAATAGCTTTACATACGTAACATACCTATTATTTCATATAATTATTGTTTGTCAGAAATTTGCTGATGACATGGCGTTCAAGCAAACTCTTGTTAAGGAAGAAAATCGGTACTCTAAAAGATTTGTAAAGAATAATCAAGAAAAAGTGCGATTACTGGAATATTTAATTTTTGCGATGGGGATTTCGTAGTTCATAATTATTTGACACATTAATGTGCATTGCTATTCTGAAACTTAAACATATTCATACGTACACCGTACTACGTACGCTTTCGTTGAACTAAATGGACGCTTTTATAAATAATAAACGTATAGTCTAAGCGACATCATTTCTTTAAATCGTTGGTTCGAAGAATTATTATGTTATTCTACTGTGGGTTATCGTACAAACTCAGGAGTTGTCAAGATAATTGTTTAAAAGCCTGAATATTTTAGATGCAGTTAAATCTTCCAAGCAGGAGCGAAGCGGCCAAAAGAGTCGTTGTATACAACGTGAAGATGGATGAGCAACCTACGAAGGATGTAAATATTTTTATTTAAACTAATCTTTTAATACCGTGCACACATGGAAAGTGATATTCAAATATCTCGTTATAAGAAAAATTCAAATTTCTGTTTACGCAGCACATGTTTATGAAAGCAATTCTCAAAACCGAACGAGATTATACGTCATTCGATTTCTTATTAATCCTACTGATGAGATAAGCAGTATTCAGTGAGAAAATTGTTATCATATTTCTCCAATATTTACATAGATATATCCTGTTTTCCTGCACAGAAAACGGAAGAAATACCAAGCATTAATTTTTAGTATAAATATTTTATATTTAACACGACTGACTATAAAATCATCTTTATCAAAGGACACGGTAATGAGGTTTGGTCTTTATCAAGTACAACATAAATTATCACTCGACCGCGACATGTGTCCAACCGCCATCAGGCCAGATAAATGTGTGTCATATGATAAAAAGTGAAACTATCATCATAGAAACATGCCAGAAGTGCGAATTAGCAAAACTTAGATTTCGAGAATATTTGATAATTTACTTAAATAAAAGAAAGTCTATTTTAACATCTAGTTTTTTATCTGACATTAAAAGTTTTATTGCAAACATTACTTACTTTTAACGAGACAATTATTATATTTTACTTCAATTTTTATGGAAAAATAAATGTATATTTAGACACTGTAGACTATACCATTAACAGTAATAGTAAATGTTATTTTGATCGTTGTCGACTTTATCCACAAAAATCACAATTGGCTGCATAATATAATTTCTGACAAATTAATGAAATTCTTGCAATATACAAGACATTTACCGTTACAAAACAATGAGGTTTCTTCGGAAAATCCTTCTCGGCAATAACAGCGTTTTCCTGTGCCGTTGTGTTGCACACATTGAGCATCTTCTATGCACTCTCCGTCGGAACTGCAGAGTGCGTGAAGTGCTGGAAGATAAAAACACATCATTTAAAATAACTCGAGAATTTGCGTAAACGTTTGTAAAAGCAAACCGCGAACTCTGTTTCTCAACTTTATTTAAAATATTTTACTAATCGTCTTGAAAAATAGAATATACATATAATAATATTTAGAAATTTACATTTAACAAGCCCGGATACTTATCACAATTTATATGAGATTGTATGATTTTATTTACTGTAAATATGTCATAATTACAGTAAATGTACTCCGTTTAACTTTTCAAGCGTGAACATTTTAAATCGACGATCGATTCGTAACCACGATTAATTACCTTTGAAATGTTCGAGGCAATCATCGGTAACTCTGCTAAAGATCAGAAGAGAACCGTGCATAGTGATCATCTAATCACAAACGAAATTGCCGAGTTTCCGGGTCGTTCGTTTCACGAACCTCTAATATTAGGTATCGAACTACAAATTGCTTGGTACGTTATACGATTTCCAAAGTTATAAAATTCATTTGCTGCATCGTACCAGGTACGGTTGTTGCTATCACTTTGGTTAACAATTTATTGACACACAATTTCATTATGAGAACCATAGAATCAAGTTTTTAACTATATATGCGAGCATGTTCATAACTGGAAAGCTATTATAATGAATACACAATACTTCCTCCTACCTCTAACATAAAATTTGCAAAAAATTAGTGACTAAATATATTATTTTTACTGTTGTTGCGCCGTTCTACATTCGCGCCTTTTCTTGCCGTGAAGCAAATCTACAGAAAAACGAGTTGTATCGGCGTAACTACTGAAGGTAGGTCGAGCCGGTACTCCTTCACCCGTACCAATTTGCATAGATAACCATAGACCGACTACAAACACTATCACACGCGTGTGTTCACATATATATTGCAATGTAGCACGTAAATATATGCAAATCTCTATCGCCTTCTAGTTACGATTTTCCAAATTCGACCAGTTTCAAGAAATCAAAGCAATAACGAATATGCAGGGCACTAAGAAGAAGATTGAGAATATGAGCATGCATATAAATTATTAAATAGACAATGACGTCACACGCTATAATATAGCGTTTCTAAAGTTGTATAAAAAAATATTTTAGATATATACCTAGAAATTTGAAGTTTACCTATAAATTTGAAATTAACTTCCTAGAGAAAACTGATTTACCTTTGAATTTGTTAGTGCATGCACCATTAACTGGCGCCGTGTAATCGCCGCAGAGACATCGAGTTCTTCCGTCCCGGTGATCCGCCATGCACGTTGTATTTTGTATTCCAGCACATTCGCTTTCCATCTTACACTCGCGAGCTTTACCAGCTGCAATTGTATTATATCACGTACAATAGCACTCTATGTAAGAAACCGTATTATTTTATTTGACCTTTAACTAGTTTAATGCGTTCTCATACAAATATACTCAATATTATGGCATATTACTTAGAGATTAAATCTGCGAATTTGAAGAAAAGGTAATAACTAAGATTTAGTAGTAATCATTCTATAAATGCAGAGGTCTTATTCGATATTTAAAATGTTCGAAGAATCTTTTCGTTTTCCGTCTTTCTTCGTACGAATCAGGTGAACAACGTGAAAATAAAATATTATACAGAATACAATTTTCGCTAAATGATAAATTGTCTTAATTGTACAAATAGATGTAGTGTCAACTGATGTAAAAATCATAATAATCGTTGAAAACCATACGGGAGTTAGAACTCTGACATTCAACAGAGCATTAGCATTCACATCCGCACTGAGGTTTAACCTTGACACTCAAACATTAGATTTTTTATCTACGCAGTTTTAAATTATGACTGATTATTAGACGTTAGTTTGCATATTTCTAAAAGCGTTACAGAAATGTATAGAAATAATTAATAGAACAAGTTAGATCATGTTATAAAACATTAATCCATAACTATCTTGTTACATTCTCGAAATATACTGGAAGAATAAGCAAAATAATAACATCAAATTCTATTTTATATAATATTTACAATGTAATTATGAATATTACATTGTAATTTATGAATACTAATTATGTAATTTATGTAATATTACAATATAATAAGCTTGTATATGCATACAGTAAATATATCAATATAATAATAGATACTTTCGTACAATTTGAAAACCAGCTAAACTATAATTCTTGAACAATTTCAAGAGGTCTGAATCAATGACATAATAAGGGATAATACATAGAGAATAAATTAGCATCCCGTTCTCTTAAAATATTAAGTCATTAAAAGATAACAGAATCGATATGTGCATTAAAACGTCTGTCTGCCACTCATAAATTTGCTGTAAAATAGAGTTTGGATTGTACTTAATGAATGGTGAAATTAATACGAGAACCTGTTGAGTTTCATTGCATTCAATAATTATCATTAAAATATAATTACTCAAAAATATTGTACATTATGTTAATACAATATAATATTTTAATTTCTTTATTTATTTCATACTTGGCGTTGGCGGCGGCGGTGGATTCGGGTTTTGATTTTGTGGATTGCTCTTCCCAAAAGTTGTAAGGGCAGCGGACATCGGCGGCGAAAAGATTGATATGACCAACAGTATGGACACTAATATTCGGAGACCCATCCCGTGCCTCATGGTCTCTCGGTCGTTACGTAAACAATATTTAATTATTACCACTTATATGGTCACAAATCACAAATCTAAGCTTTAGCAAAGAGGTGACTTGCGAGGAAATTAAATCACTTCCTTTCCTACTTATTGTTATACTTTCAGTTTCTTCACCTCGATACTTTTCACCCCAAACTATTCCTCTTTTCTTGTTAATGAATTAATCTCGGTTTGCGATACACTCCGATGAAAGTCTGACGCAACCCGTGACGGCAGAGTTAGGTGAGACTATTCTTCACACTTTCGATCTACTTACGCGGAATACTAGTATGTTTGAATCCAAGACTGCGTGTTGCAAGGACGTTGGAAGGCCTTTTAAGCCTTCGAAGCCCCCCCACTACGAAACTCTATGTGCTGCCACTACTAAAGCAGAAAATGCTCTGCCATAGGGTGGTTACCTTACCACCTTTCTTGAGATCTGAATACGAAGCTGGTTGAACTTCGATCGCCTCGAAAGACGCGGCTAGATGTTCTACTACTGAGCCATTGTTGAGCATTACCAGCAAAATTTATGAACCCAACATATACAACTTAACTCCCTTTCAGGATATTACTCGGAAATCCCCGAAGCATTCTGCTATGCATCGTTATCATTTTATGTTATCTATTTTCAATATAAATCCTCATAGCTTTTTCATTAATAGCTTTTAAAAATCCTTATACAATTATATGATTAAACAATGCATAAATCCGATTATAACGCTAGCTTTTTATTTTTCATAAAGTCACATATCTGACCTGAGGCAAACTTTTGCAATTACTCGAGCCATATCAACGATCTGTTTAAGTTTCTTCCGTCGATTCTAAGAAAATTATGGGAATGTTCGTTGAGAGTTTTTTTATAATATATATATTTTGCAATCACGAGATTATTGAGGTAAAAAGTTAGTTTCATGTTCCCGCCGAATATGGGTTACATGAAATGTCTCATCTGAAAACCCCGCAATTATTTTAGTCGACCTACATGCACTGAATCAAATATTCGCTTGGGCTTTTACCGTTCAAGACAATTAAAAAAAATTGTTTATAAATTAGCATGTTTTACAAATTACAATATAAAAAGATTTAATTTTTATTGAATTATTTAGATTATTTTAATTTGCCGTTTTTTCCCACAAAATAATTTCTTGAAAGTTTCTTTTTATTTTCTGTATCTTTCTAAGTTTGCAGCAAATAATTGGAGCATGAGAAAAATTACTGCACTCATCAAAGAAAGATTATTATTTTAAATAATTTTGATAATTCTCGTTTAATAATTGTAATAATCTTCTCTATATTTGCGAACTACAAACTTGTTACAAATTGTAACTTACTTTGATGAGTTTTCAAAGTAAATAAGGCAACATAAGAAGGTATAAAATATTTTGTTTGTAGAATAAAACTCTTATTAAGATCTTCTCGTAGTTGTTGCAAATGATCTAAGAATAAATATCTAGCTTAGTTCTTCCGTTATCACGTGCTCGACATCGCGACGTTACATTTCTTCGGAGCTCGAAAGCTTCCATCGAGCTCTAAATGTTAACTACGCAAGTTACAAAGGAGGCGCATCCGGCTGCTTCGTGCACGAAAGCGACCGAAAATTTATCACCGTGTTGCCAGTATTTTATAGGCAGACAGTCGTAGAAACGTGTCCGCTTGCACGCCAAGTGCATCGCGCCTCGCCTTGCAACGCCTTGCAAATTTCCACAGCAGCAGGAAGGCGCGTGTCGGATTGTCGTGCCGATTTTACAACTATCGCGTCGCCCTTTGTTTCGACCGGGAAAGCTCCCCCCATCGATCGTCGATCACGAAGGCTTGCGTGTGATTCATAAATTTAACAAGACGCGTGCAAGACGTGCCGTGATTTACAAGGCAATTTGCCGGAATGCTCGTCCGGCGATCGAAATACTGATCGAACTGTCGTGGTCGATCTTGCATGTTTCACGAAACTGTAAGGTGTAAGGTCAGCGCGCGATTAAGCCCGTGATTGGCCGAGTGCTGGCATTAATAAAGAAGCGCGACGCTATATCAACTTAACAACAAACTTGATAAGATCAGCAATCATATTTTATTAAAAGTTCCATTTACGTGACTTTGAATACAATTCTTGCAGCGTTCTATTTCCAATCGGTTTAAATATTGAAATTACTGAGTGAATTACTGATCTCTTCCATCCATTATACTATGCAATTTACAAAAATACATTGTTTCATACATTTCTAATGGCTGTCGCATTAAAAATATCACTGCAAAATAAACTAGCGATACAATACAGTTGAACTGAAGAGATAAACAGTAATTTTGTTTCTTTAGTTATGTGCAACAAAACTAACAGTAAATGTAACATCGATTCAAAATTTACTTTAAAGTGAAAACAGTAGCCAAAGGTTACGCACTTTCAGTATTATTAAAAACCTATTTTAAAGATGTGTAAGCTTGACCTACTTTACCAATTCTATAATCACCGAACAACCAATTGCAATCGTCACATAGTCAACGCATGGGAATGTTATCGCATTAACGCAGCTACGTATAAATTATAAGAAATTAGCATGAGTAAGTTCAAGGCCTATGCGCAGGCATATTAGCAACGCACTAATTATTCCATAGCATGCTTTTGTCAAATACCCACAGGTTTTACGAACAAATTTCGTGAGCATATTACGTATTAAGTATACTAACGCATTGCGATGGACAAAATTAAAATACTTTACAGCAAACGTATATTCGTACTAATTATGAAAATTAATATGTGACGGTTCCTTGACATGTGACGATATCAATATCTGTAATTTTTATAATATACTTATCAATTATTTATTTATCACTTGTCCAAAGTATCAAATTAAAAGAGAACGAAAGAAGGAGTAGGAGAAAAAGAAGAGAGAAACAAAATCAAGAGAAATCTGTACACTTTTTCGCTTACTTTTCGTATAAAATTTGCGATGTGTACAATTTGCGGCGTTCTTCAGTTTCCATCGGAAATTCACTCGAAGCGTAATCGTCATCAAGTTTATTATGAAGAAGATATCGTTCATGAAGTCTGTCAATGCAGAAGGCAAGAACTTCCATTTTCTGGAAAAGTTTTCTCAAATTTTCTGATAAGACCGCGTCTTTATCGTCCTCTTCTAACGTATTTGATACCTGACCTGTTATGTGTAACATTATAAATTACATTTTAAGTAAATAACAGTATGCTGCAATACACAAGTAAAATATATTAAAAAATCTATTTTTTTAATGTAATAGTTGACATACCCTGTTGCCATGCCAGATCATTAGTCATTCGTTTCTTTCGAAAAGAAGAGTCAGCAATACTGTGCGGATAGTTGGAATTTGGCATACGTTCCAAGATGTTCCTTACAGCAACGTATTGTTCACACAAGTGATGTTGGAATGCAGAATGTACGTGATGAATACTGCAAAAATTATTCCAATAGCTACTCTCATGAAAATCTCTTGGCAGATCCCGCGTCATACTATCTGACATTTCATTTTTAAGTAGAGCAATGAGACTCTTTTCCAAAAGGTAAAAATATTCAGGATCTATCAAAGAAGTATGAGTATTATAAGGATCTGAATGATCTTGCTCTTTGTTGCTTTTTAATTGCATTTGTTGTTGTGTATCGAAAAAATTCAGAAATAGATTCCATTCTTTGGTTGAATTTGTGGTACCGGAATTGAAGTCAGAAACGGAGAAAGATATTGTCGCGTCTGGTTCTACATCTTTTTCATTTGAGTTGTTAAATAAAGAATCGTAAATTACGTAATCTTGAGTGATTGCTTCGATCTCGAAAGGATCAATGTATTCATCATATGAATCCAGTAATGCATCGTTTGAAATTTTTCCACTTGTAACACTCTCTTGTAATCCAAGCGCGTCGATTACTTTCGATATGCTATCTCGCAAAGTTGTAACTTCCTTATCAACATTTTCATTAGAAATATTTTCAACGTCTATCTTCTTATTTGCATCTTCGTCATACTCGGTACGTAAAATGTCTTCGAAATTAGTGGTTTTTGGAACGTCGGTTACAGGCATTTCGGTAGAAGTAATACTCCATTCTTCGTCGAACTTAATAGCAGGACATATCACCTTGAGAATACCCAGTTTAATTGTTATCTTGCACTTACTTCCTCGAATAACATCATCAACACTCACGTCCTCAGACGTATCCCGCGATAACGAGTCATGTTTCTCACTTGATTTCGATATATCTTCCAATCCAAGATCTACAAAGGGAGGAGGCGCCATAAACCATTGGAATTGATCAACATTTGTCGTCGAGGATTCTACGCTATCTTGCACTGTTGGTTGTAAAAGCCATAATTTGTCAGAGTTCTCAACATTCTCAGTTGATTCGTATTTCTCATCTTCTTTTACGATACTCTCGGATGGATATTGCTCTTGTACATTTTTCACAGTAGATAGTATATCAGAATAGTCTTGGTTTCCGAACTCGAATGCTGACATATCGCTATCATCCATGTCATGATTATCTACATTGCTTTCGTCGATGCTACCGTTTGACCTATTCTCTATTTGTTCTGAAATTTCTGGTGCTAATGTAAGCTCTTTAGTCGAATCTTTTACCAGTGTATTAGAAAATTTATGAGACTTGTAAGGTGGGTATATGACCAAGCCTGGTTCTAAGAATATCTTTATTGGTCTATCGTTTTCGTCAATTAAAAAACTATTTTCATTACGATTGTCTTGTGCCGCATCTTCGGTTAAATCGACAAATTCACTAATCGTATGATCTACAAACTTTTGAGGACTTGAAATTGTTGCGACGTTCAATTCTGAATTTTCAAGTTCGTTGGACGCATCTGGAACATGATTTTCTTCGCTTTCTAACATCAAACCATTACCATCCTCATTCATGCCTTCGAATTTTTCTATATCGTTAGTTGCTTTTATTTTATTTATATTCCGCAATTTTTCAAAAACTTGTTCGTGACGGAGGGATTTTTCGTTCTTGTCAGTATCAATTTTTATCAAGTCTCCATCAATGTATTCAGCTAAAGAAAATCGTGGTACAGGAATCTTCGTAATCTTTTCATCATGCACTAAATTTCCAAGTCTCGCCAGTATTCTATCGACGTCACTTATTTCTGCCACGTTGTTACTTTGCACGTCATTAGAATTTTGCGCATTTGTTTGCACCATACTAGGAACACTTGTTACAACTTTCTTGTTTTGTATTAAATTTTGATCTTTTGTAAACTCTATGTCTTTTAAAGGATTATTTATCTCATCTATAATAATCTCAGGCATATCTGTACTTGACGTCTGTGTTTTAAGTAGTGATTCAATCATTAAGGAATTTTTCTCTAAAATGGAATCAGTCTCATTTTTCATTTCTTCGGGACGATAAAACTGAAAAATCATGTAACAACCCCATCCGAAAAATAACGTTACTTCTAATAAAAATATCAATCTGAGATAGGGTATGCATCGTAAGCAACAATTGGTTTTATATTCGATTCTCCTTATGACTTTGTGGTTTTCCCGATACAATCCTTTTTCCACATCTTCGAGTTGTGTGTTATCTGTGCAAATTAAAATTTTGATTTATTTAAGTATTTTATTTACAAAATAACTAAGTTCATTAATAGACACATTAAAAAATGTTAAATTTATTAGATAAACAATATATATCAAACCGTTTAAAACTCTAATATAGATTTGTAAAAGATTATACGCAAAAATTTTTTATGTTATAACGCACAATTAATTTACAAGAATAAAGAAACAATACGTAAAAATAAAAATGTTAACGCGGCAAGTACTGTATAAGCTAATGCTAATGTAAGCGCGATAAAAGCATTTTACATTATTGTAAGCAATGTTGTAATAAACTTTTCATAATTACGACACGAATAACTATCACTCTTTTATATTTAACATAGAAACACAAGTAATATTGCTCACTCTCACTAATGCTCCACTGTTCCGTCATGATGAACGAATAATCGTTAACTGAGTATTTCTCCGAGATGAGATCTTTAAATATTCACAGTAGTACGAATTAATCTCGACCTGGTAAAATAGCATACAGAAGGTCGAGATAACAGTTATCGCCTTCCACGTTTTTAGGCACAAGAAAGACGGTCATCGGGTCATCAATTATCTATCCCGGGTCAACAGAGCTGTGTGTGATGACAGTGTCCTGTTGTCAATAGAAACTCACCTCGCACTTATGTGTATTATAGTTGTTTATTTTCGAAATAAATTTAATATAAAAGGCACAAAAACATTTTTTTAACAGATTAGTTTTATTGCATTTATAAAAGTCGATTTTACATTGTTATAAGCTGATTGAAAATTGTACATTTAGTATAAATTGTTGAATACATCAAATTTATTAATCACGTGTTATTTAAAATCAGTCTTTCTAAAATTCATTGTTTGGATTCAAGTAGTTGTTAATTAAAATTACCTTGATTATGTTATAACAAGTGACTATAAATGTATATTTACTTTTCAGATCAATATTGTATAAGCGATATTTACGAAACGATATTTCCTTTGGACATTAAAACAAAAAGATAAACAAGTTTTCAGTTTTTAGGAAATTTTTATATATGTTATATTACTTCCGTCTTATGCATTGAATATAAGTTTAAACAACATGTATCATTTCAAAGATTATATTCTTGCGATAACAGAACAGGTGTTCCAATCGAGTTGATATCACAAGACAGTGCCGGCCTTATATTCCAAATAACCAAGTCTAAAATTTGTACACGCAACTCTAATAAGAGATGAATAAAAAAAGACGATTTAACTTTACATAGAAAAGGATTTTTTAAATATTTTTTATTACAATAAAAGGCATACGTAAGTGCGTATTATTAAATACAGACAAAACCGTTGATGATTAGCCCAAGGAAAATGAAAAGTCAAGATAATGTCAATTTGATGTCATATTGACCAGATTTATGTCATATTTTGGCCAATATGACATCAAATTGACGTCATCTTGACTTTTCATTTTTCCTTGGGATGTTAGAAGCAGTTGTGGGAATGAAACATGATAATGATAGAACATACAAAAGAAACAGAAAAGCGAGACATCCTAAAAGTAATATTTAAAAATACAATATGCGAAGAGCAGAAGATATTAGTAACTTTGTTACTCGTTTCTAAATGATATACGAGACTGGATCGGTTTTATACTTTGTTTAGCTCCGGCACTGATCTTAGATTTGATAAAAGAAGCCCGTCTGATTAAACTTCATTATTGAAGACGTTGCAATAGTATTCACAAGTTCTAAAGATGCGACAAATTCAGCAAATTGTGTACATTTTATTATATTTACAATTTTTCGTCCACAATGGTGAGTATAAACAAGAATTTCGGATCTAATAATGAGTTATACATTCTGATACTTTTGCCAAAGTTCTCCAAAGTAGCTGTTATTACATAAGTGTTCTTTTATAAACGTACTCTAAACATATAATAAGTTATTGTTAAATGTAAAGAAAATTCAGATAAAGATTACAGTAAGAAAAAAAATATTTTAGTGTTCACATTTAACACATTCGACATTTCATCGAAAGAAAATACCGGCGATACAAGTGATATAGTGTTAATTAATGAGTGGGAATGCACATCTGATGATGATTGTACGGCGAAAAGCAGCGTATGCAGTGACCATTTGTGTCAGTGCGAGCCTGGATTCATTTTTAATGCCGACATGACAGCCTGCGTTAGAAGTAACTTTGTTTTATCAAATCTTTATTGCTTTCTTAGAATCATTATTGATAGTGCATGAAGAGAAAAATTATCGTATCACGTTTCGTAGTTGCAACTGGATTGTATGATTCATGCGAGGATACAGTACAGTGTTCGGCTTATCTCCTCAGCGGTGCAAAATGCGTGGAAAATGTCTGCATATGTGGTCCCGGTTACTATTATCTTCATGGTAGATGTAATCAATATGTCGGTGAGTGATCTTGTACCATTTTACTCGCATTGCCTTTCCATACCGTTAATGATGGAAAAGATTTATTAATATCGCTAATATGTAGGTTTGTTCGAGAAATGTAAGCAAAATATAGACTGCTATGTAAACGCCGAGTTTGAAGCAAGCACTTGTGACACGGTTGAAGAAATTTGCAAGTGCAGTCCTGGCTTTTACCAGCGCGAATATCGCACTTGTCGGAGAGAAGGGAAAGGTACATGACAATATTACACAGATAAAATCGCACGACATCGAAATATTATATTGTAAGACATTATTTAATATTATTTGCGTAGCCGTCGGCGACGAGTGCACAGTTGATATCGATTGTACCTTCGGTAATGCGACGTGTAGTGAGTTCGTATGCGCTGAAAAATCCAAAGATAATAAAACCGTCGAGCTTTCGTCTGACGTTATATTGACTGAAATAATTTTGGATGAAGGTTAGTGTATAATTTATAAGTAACAAATATATGATAGCGTAAATATAAACTTGTTAAAATTCTTATTGGTAAAATGATGAAACTGTAGGTATGTCTACATGCGTGTATGTTTCTGTTAGGAACTTGGGTGGACAGTACTTGTACGACCGACGAGGATTGCAGAGAAATGAGAAATGCCATATGTGGTCCTACTGGGACATGCCGTTGTGACCGTGCATATTTCGCATCCAGTACAAACACCGAATGTATCCCAGGTAATATTAATGACACTATCACTGGCGCAATTTTGCAGGTGATGATATTCAGGCACTTATGTTGGCAGAACTCGGAGAGCCTTGTCAAAATGACGACGTCAGCTACATCGAGAAATCCATTTGTCGTGAAGGAAGATGGAGTTGTATGACAGGCACAGTTGCATCTAAAGATAATCGCGAATGCCTTAATGGTAAGTAACTTTAAAATTAAAGTGAGTAATTAAAGTAATTAAAGTAAGTAACTTTAATTAAAAGCTAAAGCATTCAGTTTTGATACATAAATTTTTTCATTGGAGAGACAATGTAAAATTAACGTGCTCGTACGTCAGAAATAAAAGAATGTTGATTCGCCTGAAAATTATATTGATTTCTAATGTCTCATTCAGTGACCAGAGAGTATATGGGAAATTGTCACCTGGACGAGCAGTGTTATATCTTTGGTCCGGATGCTATGTGCAATAATAATACATGTGTGTGCAACGCGAATGTTTCCCATTATGTGGAGAGCGAACTCTTTTGCTGGGGAAACACGGGGCCCGGTGAAACTTGCAAACAGGACCGAGACTGTTATGTGAAAGATTTCAAAGGCAATTTAATATGTAACGATACATTGCAATGTAGCTGCCCTGATGACACGCGCTTAAGCAGAGACGAAATGGCTTGTATAGGACGTACAGGTTAACGATTATTTGATTACTTTTTCGTAAAAGTCCATTACGTGACGATTAACAAAACTTTTGCACTAAATTTTAGGACTTAAAGGATTTTGCGAAATAAACAGTGATTGTGCGATACCGCATTCCGTTTGTAACAACCAAGTGTGCACGTGTGCCAAGAATTATTATGAGTCACACAAGATGTGTTTGGCAGGTAATATTGTATTAATTCTTCTGAAAATATTAATTTTTTAAAAGAAAACAGTTTATATATGTTATATTAATCTTTTTGAAAAAATTACTGATTTCACAGAATGATAATTAACTAATGTAACACGTAATTGAAATTTAATAATTAAAACTAACAAAGGTAAGATTTACGTGATGCTGCAATTGCATTTTAGGTATTAATGCTGATTGCACGAGTAATATGGCTTGCGCGCCAGACAATGCCATATGTATTTCAAAGAAATGTTCTTGTAAACCGAATTATGTGTCTGTGTTTATTGATTTGTGCATGCCAGGTAAGTGTTTATTTTAGTTCGTTCTTACAAAGGAAATATTAAAATTTTCATGTTTATATTATCGATAATTTTAACGATTGGATTTAACGTGTTTCTAGTGTTATCGTTTGGCGAACCTTGTTCATTTGACGCACAATGTTCTGCTGTGACAAAGGACGCAATTTGTAGTACTCTTAAGAAGAACGAAACTGACACCGAATCGACAACGGTAGCAGAAAGCAGAATGTGTATTTGTAGTACAGAGGATCACTACAGATTCGGTAGATGTTTTAAGAAGAGATGTAAGACAGAATAATTTATGCCATATTAATTTTTACGCGTAAATCACTTAAGACATTGATATTTATATTTTTGCAGTTCTTGGCGAAAAATGCGTGAATTTGGGCGAATGTTACGGAAATTACTACACTCAGGACAAAATAGTTTGCAGAAATGGGATATGCGCGTGCATATGGGGCTACATACAATCGGATGATGCCGTCTGTACGAAACATCCTCAAAGTTCAAAATTTTTCTTACCAGGTAAGTAGCCTTGACTCGGTTAAGTGACAGTTGATGGAAACTTTTTGCCGCATTTTTATTTCCGCCTACGTGAAAGCAATGTAGATTAACGGGGACCTTTCTCAAGTGCGCATAAAACCCTTTTATGTGGCGGAATAATGTGCTCGCAATTACGAATCGCGCATTCGCACGCCAGTTCGAGAGCTGTGTTGTAATTTTTGCGATTAGCATCGATAAGACGTGCCTGCAACAACATAGCCCATCTGGAGCAGACTTTTTGCTCGTAGAAAGTGTGGAAAGCAGCAGTGCTCTGTCGAACATTGCTACTGCTCGAAACACATAGTCTCGGAAATAAATTTGCTACCATGAATTTTGTTATCACGTAAGAATCAGTGATGATGGAAACAGCACTAGCCTTCCAAGCAACGTTTGACTGATGAACGCTATTTTCATTTATAATATTTTTTATATTTACCTTGTTCCGTTTTGTCACTATTCAGGCTAATTTGAATAATAAATTAACTAAATTGCACTTCTTTCCAGGTATCTAACGTCGTGTCCATGGGATATTTTTCACGAATATCTTTTATACTTTTTAGTAAATTCTTTTAGATTTGTGAAAAAAGATGCGAGACTTTTTGCAATAAGAAAAAGACACAAATATTCTGTAAAATTGAATAAGTTTGCGCTGTTTGTTGTTACTTACAAATAATATACTCACAAATAATATATTTTATAGAAAATGTATGGCAAAAGTAAGAATTTGACAACAGATTGCTTTTTATTAATGAAGTCAATGATGTATACACATGTATATATGTATATATATGTGTGGTGTGTATCTATATATAAAACTTTTGTTAAAATTTAAAAAATTATTGACAAAAAAGATGACACAGAAAATGTCATTACGTTCTAGTCTATTGAGTCATAGCCAGGCAGCTGTCCATTAATTGCAAATATGCTATAACATACGGTTAGGTCATTTATGCGTGATATGCACAGACGGAAAATGTAACTGTACATAGGCGTGTGATTTGAATACCGTTATTTCCGGCGATAGAGATTGATTAAAGAAAAACTGCGTACTTCCGCCAAATGTGATAAGGAGCCAAATAACCGGCACGCGAGCCGCGTCGGCTGTGCTCATTATGACCATTGCTACTGAGCGAGCAACGCTCGCTTAAAGTACGCTTTCAATGACGTCATTAATGTATTTAAGGCATTGTGACGTCATAAAAATAGGGAGAGGAGAGGTCAAGGTATTCTACTCAGGTATATGTTCTTTGTGCGATCGACCAGAGCTCTTACCAAATTGGAAACTAGAATACGTCAGAAAAAAAAAGTATGTCAGAGCTCATTGTAAAGGAAATTTTTAGTGATTATTAATGGTTCTAACTCAAATGTTATTTGCTAAAAATGTTTAATATAATATAAACTTTAAAGTAAAGTATCACACCAATTTGTAAAAATCTTTTATTTAATCTATTAGGTTGTGAATTGTCCGTCACTGTCGGTAATAAATGGCTCGAATAAGATATTTTGCCTTCTAAGATTTGTGGTTTAATAAACACACATTGGAATAATGGTAATAATCTCTTTAAAAATTGTAAGAATAAAATAGAATAACGGATAACGTAATGTGTGTATATGTATATCGTTATATTTTAATAATTTAATGTTAGTAAAACGGCATATTATACATATAGGAAAATTTGCCGAAGAAGATTAGGTAGTGAGAAAATGTTGAGAAAGCTTGTAAATAATGTTTGCAAGTTTGCCATATGTTTAAGAGTTCTTTGAATGTCCTTTCGATATATTTTGAACTTTTGTATAACTTACATCACTTTCGTCGCACTTTTAGTTACGATTTAAAATTACCGTCAAATAGGATCCGCATGATAAATCCAGCCTAACCATCAATCTCAATTTATAGATCCATCTACGTTTGTCACCAAGCACTAAATCATGTCACAATCAGTACTAGTTTCAGTGTAGCTATATGTATAGTTCACATCTCGGGCCTTTGTTCCTTACAAGTTGCACTGTAGCTAATTCAATGCCTATTCAGTGTTATACATTATGGAACATCATGTATCTCACCAATGTACGAGGCTCGTTATATTGACAACGCCCGGATATTAACATTCCTTTATCAAGAATCTCAAAATTAGCGATTGCCAGCAAAGGCCAAGTTTTCGCCGCAAATTGCTAAAGAGCGCAGTACTTGTGTTACCCGGCAGAAATTCTATTGAAGGGAATTGTGCTAGACAAGATGTTCCAACTTGCCGCACGATATTCTTTGCGTAATAAAGAACGTTTCCTTTTTCAGTTCATAAATTTTATAACTAACAATGTTAGAGGCCACTGCCATTCCCAAAGAAGGAAAGAATTTTACGTCGTACTACGTGCATCGTTGACATTACAATTTGAATAGCATTCTGCGAGCAACCTCGTGATCTTTCGTACACTTCCACACTTGGGCGCAATCTCCATTTATATGACCTGAGCGAAATTACCACCCGCGTTATGCAACATAGATACGAAATCAGATTAAAGGAAATTATTTCTAACGATCGCAGGAACGAACTGCTGATGTTATCGCACTATTTGACCATTAAGTACGTAGATAGATTACTATCTTTCCTTAATTTCATTACAACTGGGAATGATAACACAATATTTTATTTTTCCTAGAGCTGCCTTATTTTTCGTAAAAAATTTCTATCGATCAAAGACAGAAATTTTATCTTTAAAAATTTTTTCTTCATTCTTTTAATTAAGCGAAAATATTATACACAAAATTGAATAGCAGAATATGTATCTAACATATAAGTATGGAACAGCTGTCAATCTGTTCTGAAAGCACACGGGTATATTCACACGCTAAGAAACAGAGAAATTCAATTAAAGTGTTGTGTAATTGAAACCGCGATAAAGTCGATCGATTATAGTAGCATAGCGCGAACATAAAGACAGTGGGCGTCAGAATCGATATAAAGCTATGTAATAAAAATGTTTACACGATTTTAAATCGCGTTCCACTGATGCCGATTAACTCGTACCAAATTAATCAAACAGGTATCTCTTTGAATAAAAGTCCTAATTAAATATTTTGATGTTTAAATACCAGCAGATTTATAAGCAACATTTAACATCATCGGAAATTCCTAAAGTAAACAAGTTTTAACGTCTTTACTATCGACATGGATTCGTACATTTATCATATATTCTATTAAATAAAGCTTTCCTTAATTATTTCATGGCTTAATGCTTTCTTTATGATAATTGGATGAAATTCAACATTGGTCCGATAGGCGTAGCACTAGAAGCAAGTGGCTATATTGCTGTAGATACAAACACGAAAGATCAAAGATACAAACCCTTCGACTTCGTACTCGGTATTCTTATCGCATTATAGATGTATCTATCGCAAGAAATCGAGCCGTTTATAGGTCCCGAAATCAGGTGATTTGTGATATCGGATACGGTATACAAATGCTTCTCTCTATCAGCCAAAACGTTCCCTCGTTTATCCGTTATTCGCGCGTGGCGAGCTAACGAAGGGATGCGAAAGGTCACACGCCAACCAGATGGACAGCCGATAGAGGCTCGACCTGGCTTCTTTCTTTGTAAAATGGGTCAGAACTCGCTCACGCGGATAGGAAGTGACGCTACCACGAGGATCGTGGGCACGGAATTTGAAGTTTTAGCACGCGGTCAAGCTCGTATCTCGAATTTCCTAGCATTCTTCGCGATGTTCTCTGATTTATACTCGGAAATCAAATACTCTTGAATAGGCTTAACTTTGCAAATATCTACGTGCACACACACACATACGCGACGAGAATAATTTAAATAAAACAACAAAACATTTTGTGAATATTATATCTTTAGTTTCTTAATATAAAGTAAATAATATTATATTTCTTTGCTCCCTTCAAGAAGGTAAGTAGAAAGGTGAAATTTGAGGCTCAATCTTCATTTTCAATTGTTTGCCACAATATTAATTGAATCTTTTATTGTGTATTATTTTGTACTGCAAGCAATTTGGATACTGTTTAATGGCTACAGTAATTAATAATTTTATTTGTCAGAGACAAATTTTCTTTACAATATTGCTTCCAAGAAAACACATTTCAGTTCCAATAACATCCGATAGAAATTGCGCTTCATATCTTATACTATACAATATTACTCTAATATCTATGATGTACTTTAGTAAAAAATTGAGAGAAATTACAATTTATAATTTACGGAATGACATTTCTTTTGCGCGCGGCTTCTGGAAAACATTTAAAAGGCGTAACCAAGCATTACAATCTCTAAGTAGATATCATCTATAAGTTACAAGGAAATCGCAGTGCGAGGTTGACGCAGAGGTCACGATTTGGTTTAACAAGTTTCTCGCGCTGCGAAATGTTCTCGCCCGTGCACAAGCGTCGCGGGGGACTAATGCAGGAAGAAAATTACGGACGGACAGAGATCTGATACCGCGGCCCGTCGCGCACCACGTAATTTCTCCGCGTAATTTCAAACTCGACTCGCGGCCGGCTCGTGCCGATCTAGGACGCCGACAAAAGTTCGTGTCGCGATACCGCTTCGCGCACCCGTGACGAAAATCGTCGTTGAGAAAGACGTCAGCGCTGAGGAATTTAAAGGGTTGCCGGTAACTTGTCGCGGCCGCCAATGCCGCGAGCGCACCTGGGGCGAGCATATAAATCCTCGGCGGTTCCGAAGGAGGTAACGCGGAACGCGCGTCGTGGGATTGTGTCGCAGCGATTTTCTTGCGGCCCGCGTATACATATCGGATCGCGTGTCCGACATTACCCGCCCAGGGCATGTGTCATGCGTTATATGGTGCTGACGGAGGCCAAGGTCGCGCGGCCGCCACCAGAGACGCGAGACTACGCAACGATCCATCGGGCGAACTTATCAATCAGCAGGTACTTATCGGAGAAGGCATCGGACTGTATAAAAAAATGTCGAAACATTACATCTTGCGAGGAAAGTTAGAAAATTATTCCATGCGCGACACGTGAAAGAGAATGTAGAATAATTTTCTCCAGTGCTCTTTACACACAACCAACACCGTTACAAAAGCAGTTTGTTCCGAGATTTTTATGCATCGCGATTGCAATCTCTTATATCAAACCTTTTTTACTAAAGATTAATTTACGGAATTTAATTTTATTCGAGCACGATAAAATTAGAAGGGAGATTTGCAAAACGCAACTCCTGCGAGCCACTTGCGAACTTTTATGTATTAATATCGATGACTTCGTAATTTAATTAGATCTCATAGATACGCTGATAACACGTGAGCTGATACCAGACGTAACGGAAAGGGGATGTCGTGGGAGGGACGGGTTACGTTTAAGTGTTCGTTAAACTTGCGCACTTTTCTTATCAGATTCCAGCGTGGCTGCCGCAAAATGTGACGCCCGATCGTATCTGCGGAATAAGTGTTTTTTAACGCGCATGCCTGACAGCATCCCATATTTATGTGTATACGGTCGCATTTTATTTTTACGTTTCATAAAATGGCGTTCGCCGCCGGCAATTGCTATTTAAATGAATTTCGTATACCGGGCACGCAGCGCGGCTCGGCGTTCTCGTGAATTTATTTGCATCTATTTATGAACGAAAAAATTTATACATAACAAAAGACACGAGGGAGAAATGTAAGTCGTCGCGCGTCATTCCCGATTGCGGCCGTGTTATCTCCCCGCGATGACCCTGTTATGGGCAAAACCGCTCGATTATTTTTCATCTTCCTCGAAGCAAGCGATTTATTATTACGTATGTAATATCTAATTTTGTTTTAAGCGTTTAAATGATGTCACTGCGATGAAATAAGTCACGCAGAGCTGTTCACGACTGCCATAGGTTTCCACGAGGGCTGGCATAAATATGCATTCATTATTGCAATGCAACTTAAAAATCGCGGAGTTCTACCGACTTGCACGGTACACACAATTGCACATTTTATTTCGCGAAAGCCTGGCGAGAAAGAAGTCCGTATTGCCATCTATCAAAGGAATCGCAAACTCACTGTTTCAGTCATTCATTCGTACAGATACAGTTTTCAATATTCTTAACATTGCACAGAATTACTTATCATATTTTATTAAATATTATTACAGAGCCAGTGACACTTGTAAAATTTATTCATTTTTACTTATAAAGGCTATTTCTATGATAAGCAAAAAAATTAAATAAAAATGTTTTATTGATATGAAGTCATAAATAATTTTCTCACTAATATGTAAACTTTAATTATTTTAAGTAAGTGTGAATTAATGTTATACAAATTTTATAAAATGTACTATTTTGATATTTTTCTCATATTAATTTCACACATGACTTCTCAAGAGCTGTGCGTCCTCGTACATACGTGTATGCATGTAGACTGCATGTTCATGTTATATTTCCTGCACTTCTGGTATCATTTTACTTTACAACATGCAACACGTAGATAACACAATTTGGATGTGGGCCAGGAATTTTCCATCTCGAAACTTGCATACACGCTCGTCTCTTGGAACCGATGAAATTACCATTTGCTGATATATCCAGACTGATCTGTCCGGAAATTTGTAGAGAGTAACGAATCGTTTCGCAAAAGTTCGCCTCGGCGGAGAACGAATTTTTCTTCCTTCTGCCTTTTCTATTTTACTGCTGAATTCGTCCATTTGATATATGCTCGCTCTAAGTTTCCTCAGGTTTCAAAATATCAAAATACGGAGAGATGCGTGCAAAATACAAAATCATATAAGTATTAAAAATTTTTTATTTTAGATTTTAAGTTCTAAACTTATTTCTTCAAAAATTTAAATATTAAAATTTATACATACACAAATAAGTAATTTTTACTCATATGTTTGACTGTTGAGAAATACCTATATACGGCCAGGGAATAAATAGCGCGCATAGCTATAGTATTCTAGTAATATGTGTAAACTATATAAAAATATATAACACATGCATACGTAAATATATGACATATACAAAAATATGTATATAACACGATAATAGTAATTTTTTAAATTTATTTCACCACTAATACCAAATGTTAGAATACTTCTAACTTATAATAGAATACGTAAAAAACTAACGTAACGTAACATGCTAATTTGTGCAAATTATACTATATAGTACAAAGAACGTTGGTGTGAAATTTATATTTACTATATTTTGCTGCAATGTATTCTCATCTGGGTGTTTATTACGAGCTACAGCGAAAACGCTTTAACTTAAGCAACAGGGTGCAAGTATTTTGTACCGTCTATCGTATTAACCAAGGGTAGCTTCAGCCAAAGGGCGAATCGGAACCGAAGGGCGCGATCCGTCCGAGGGGTTGATGCGTAAAGGAGGAATATACGGTTTACCAGCTAGCGACGCCAGTATCGATCAGTCGCACACGCGTATAATTCAACGGCGTCTGGATATTCCACAACGAATCCTCCATGATTATCTATCCATTTTATATTTCCAATCTGTACATAGAAACGAGCTCAATGCTGGAGACATTATTGAAAAAATGTTTGGCTTAAAAATACAATATCGTGTGTCTTCTTAAAAATTTTTTATGTTCTAAGAATATATTTTGGCTATGCATTAAAGGAAAAATATGATTTACAAAATTAACTTTTTACAATTTTGTAATATATCAATCACTTTCTGTTGTAGGACAATATTGTGAAAGTGCATACATTTTTGTTTTTTACTAAAGAGAGATATGACAAATTCAATGCAGGCTTAAACGTATCAGTCAATTCAAAAATATATTTAATATAATTTACATAAAATGTAGATTTTATTTTTAGATTGTGCAATTTTGAAAAACTGCAAATCTTGATTTCTGAATTGAACACTGTAAATTTTGTTTTATTTTACAGCGGTAAAACCAAAGTTATTTAATGTATGTACGTAGAAATAATCAATAGCTAGTCTTTTTATTTATAATCTTAGTATTTAGATAGACAAGCATTTCTACGAATATCTGAATTGCTAATACATTTTCTTGTTATTTTAATCAACGAATCTTATCCGTGTAATCTGTACGAATATATCGCTTTATTTAAAAGTTACATGTGTTATTTTATCTGGTGATAACGCACATTGTCTTATTTACAAAAATTTACTGAATATCTTATTTATTTTTATATGCAAAGACTTGAAATAAATATGAATAACTTGGTGTAAAATAATATATATTACTCGGGCATATGTCACAGATATATTTTTTTAAAAAGCAGAGTCGAGTTTAGGCCCACAATTCATACGGATGAGTGCTATCGACTAAAACGTTAATTTGACGGAAAAAACGCGTCCTTCATACTCTACCAGTCGGAGGTAATTTTATTGGTAAACGACCGTCTATCATTCATGACAGTTTGACATGCATGTGCGTCGTTGAAAGATTATGCGCAAATAACAGTCTATGTTTGCTATCACTGCACGTTCGGAAAATAAAAACGTATATACTGTAAACGATCAGGAGTTGAGAAAAAGACAGGACAAACGGAAACGAGAGATGCGTAAGTCGCAGTGAAAAAAGAGGAATGCTCGAGTTGCTGAGCTACAATCTGCATGGATTATTGGGTTCAAAAGGCTTAATGCACAAAGGCCGTCCAAGGCTGCTGATTGTAGGCAAAATGAAAGATGGAAAAGAGAAAAGGCACATGTCGCGTGTACACGATGAAAAGATACGCGATAACTTTCGTACCACTAGATATTTTAAAAATAATAAAAGCTCTTGTGAAATCTATCGCCGGAAGCGTTCAGGTTGTTTTCGACTTGCAGCAATCTCGGTTATCGCTTCATTTCTATAAAGCAACGAACGTCGCTCGATAAAGAAGATTAACGTGCTGTAATCCTCGATAGATATATTCAGAAACGTCGTTCTTATATCATTGTGTCTGTACCGAGACATTCAAGTCACAAATCACATGGTGACACATGCATTTATTGTTAAATTCACTCTATACATTATAGATGCTTACATTAAATCGGTATGCTTGCAGTAGAAAATAGAAAATGTGATATTATGGTAATATTCAATTAAGGTTATTAAAAAAGCTAATGGTTATGCGAAGTATACAGTAATAATAATTATTAATACATTTAAAATCTGATTTTTATATTTGATTCTTCATAATAAGAGAATATCTTTTCAAACACTTGTTATCATATCTTAGGTACTATACTATATATGTATACTTTAAATATGTTTAAATAATATACATATATATTTTAAATACTGTATTATCATCGCGAGAAAAAACTCGAAACCTTATTATTTCCTGCTTATAGTTGTTTATTTCTTATTTGTTCGCATCAAATAGGTTTAAAATATTATTTCTATTTGGAAAGAAATTCTGAGAGCGCGTAAATACTTTATCCTAATGTTGTATTTTTTCCCGCATCAAACATGTTGTCATCTATTTCTGGTGCAATTGTGCACGCTTGGGTTGGGCGTAGGCTGTGGCATTCCTCCTGGGATTCGCAATTCCCAAATGTAATTTCTCGTACTTTCAGGGTAGAAAAGGGACCCTCTAAACGAATTCGAGAAGTGCAGCTCTTTTTTAAATAACAGCAAAGGCGAAAAGTTGCAAGTAAAGTCTAGTTAATGTTCAGCTTTTCAAATGTTATCACAAATTGTTTTTTGCAAGAGACATTTATTTTACTATCGAATTATTATTTAACACATAATTTAATTACTAAATTATTAATTTTGAACATTTATTTCATTTTTCTTTTAGATAATCTCTTTTGATAAGTTTGTAAAAATCCGATGTTTCCGTTTACGTTCTATTAATAATCCCATTCAGTTATCTAAAAATCAATAGATAAGATTAATTAATTAGTCATATTCTTGCTAAATTACGCGTATATGTAAAAATGATATTTATTCATCCTTTATCGCGCAAAGTGCGATAAAAACTGATTGATAAAAACAGGATAACTTTACTCAAATCAATGTGCAAAACAATGCCAAATTGAAGACATGTATTCACAACTATTAATTATTGCAAACACGTTTTACATTAAATAATATAACAAACCTAATTCAAATACTTACGGTTTTCTCCATACATTTCTCTCTTCAATGATGATCATGATCATCTTTTATTATCTGATCTGGTTTGTAGGCACAAAAGAACGCTATGCACCAAATGCAGAAGAGCACTAATAGTAGCAACCACGATATGGAATTGAATCTGTCCCATCCGAAAATAATATGACGGGCCGATTTAAACTGATGCTCGTTGGATTTCGAACAACAATTTGCTGCGCTACTCCGATTGTCCGCCATCGTGTCAAACGCTCTTATGTTATTCGACAAGTGGCGAAATATTCAACATCAGCGAAGAATTGACTTACGTCCGCTTGTCTGATAAATGAAACACCAACGCCAGCAATAAACGAGGTGAACATGTCCGTAATAAGCTAGATTAGATTAGATAACGTTTCTTGAAAATGTTATCTTTATTTAACTTCTTGAAAATATAAATTAATTAATGTACAAAAAGTAAGTTGTTATTTGCCACTCGTCGTGACTGTCCTCTCGCAATTTCGAAAAATTTAAACAAACAATTATTCTCTTTACTTGGCAATCACCAGTTCAAAGAAATAAATAAAACGCATTGAATTTGTCAGAGGATATGTCTCGGAGACATTGTCATTTTAAGTTATTGATTTAATCAGCTTCACTGAGGATGATCCAAAAACGGGTCGAAACGTTTGGAATTCTGAAAAATTTGGTCTAAATATTTGACAAAATCGCACATACACATGATGTTGGCTCGCATTGGCCCTTTCTTCCTTCCTAAAAATAAAGTATTATCCTAAGACTCTTTATTCAATCATACTTATATAAATAATTCATTTTTTCCAACAAAGTTTGTCATTATCGCATATGTGTAACGTTACCATGTCTCTCGACTGAATTAAAAAGTTCTGTATCAATTAATTACGAAAAATATGATTTATTCTCGTGTACACACGTACACAAATATGGCGGAATATTTTATACAGTTATTAACCGATTATTGCAATAAAATAAATATTTAATTATCTTTATGCATTTTACATACGATTGAAAAACGTCAACTTTAATATTCTAAAAATGTATTCACGAACAACAGTCTGTATTGTCATTACTACTTTTCTCCCATGAGAATAACCAATATCCGAAAGCTGTTCCAACTCCGATAGCGATGCAAAGCCAATAGTTGTATGTCATAAAAATAAACATGAGAAAATAGCCAAGCACCACTTGGATCACGTGTAGAAACGTTTGGAAGAAATGCACTCCGGAAAACAATAATGCACTGTAATAATAAACAACGTGGTAAAATTATATCTTAGAGAAATAATAAGCGCCGTTCACGCACATACTTTCTGGATTTCTTCTCTTGGTTCTCCGTAAGAAACGTCGTGCGCGCGAAGAGATACTCACTGCAATACACGAGTAAGTGACTGAACGTTCACGCTTTGCGCGTTTTATTAAATATTTACTCACCGATAAGATTTTAGCCCTTCGTACAATGCGGTTAAAAGAATGACGCCGATCACGGAACCGACCATTCCCTGCGCATTATTTATGTTCCAGCCACTAAACAGAATAGTTTCCGCGACGCCGCCATGAAATGACATCTATAAAATGCGCGACCGTTGCAATTACAATAATTACTGGTACGATGAAGAAATGGCGTGACGTAGATCCGCATCACCAACACTTACTCCATGCATCTTGCCTTAGGATATCGCACCGTCAGATGCTCTCGTAAAAGACAGCGCGTGCTTTATGATATCGCGCAAGGAAATTTTTGTCAGACTGAATTTTTATCAATGATATCTTATCTCGTATACTCGTATAGGAAGTTAGAACCACCAGAAACTATAATATTTAATATAATAAATGTTATTTGGCTACTTTATTTCTTTTACTAATTTCAAGTTAAACTTGGCATACATATTTATTATTGAATTTTAAAACAATTTCTAATTGATTAATATAGGACAAATAATTACATAATTATAATAATATGAAAATGCAAGGGAATCGAGAGAGAGAGCATTTTAAGTTATATATATTTTTTAATTGTTTATTAATCATATTTAATTTTACAGAGATTGCCAAATGAGTTTACTTTGTACCATAATATAACGTGCTATCTCTTTTTTTTGCACGAGAGAGAGAGATTGTACTGTCTTGGAAACTGTAAAAATTCCATATATCCACAAAATTTAAATATTTTATCGTTATACTAGAATTTCATTCTCTGGAAGCCGTAAAATATGTACGACGCCACCAGCTGTGTAACTGTGTAGTTACTGACTCAAACAAAACAGATACGAACGAAAGATATCAAGTAGTTTGTCTCGTTGTTGAAGAAGAGCGCTTTTGCTTAAAACATACCGACAGCAAATAACGTTTGACAGAAATTAGTCTCACAAAAATTATTCTGCGAAAAGAATTATCTCAGGAATTATCTATTATTTAAGCCGAGACTCACGAAAACGGCGAAAAGCTGCGAAGATAACACACATGTTGCGAGATTCCGCGCAACGCATAGTTTTCGAAAATCTTCAAGGACTTTTTTCGAAGATATGCAATTTAATTATATTAACAGCAAGTTTGAACAATTTAAATAGTAACAGATTCCCACCGTTGCTACCGGCGCCTTTATGAAAGCTGGCCCTGAATAGATTTTAAATTGAAACGCAATCGTGTGCGCGATCCGCTTTCGTACAGCTCGTCTACACATGCCGGGCGAGATCGACCTGCGAACTCGGTCGCGACGGCGATTACATAATATCGCGATCGTCGACGAACCAAATCCTGGCTCACGATTGTGAAAGGGCCAAAGAGTCCTAGATGTTAAGTAAATCGATTTCTCCCGTTTCTCTCCCTCTTTCTCGCCGACTTTCTCCCCCGTTCGGGGTGCATACGCCACCACCACCACCAGCAGCAGCAGCAGCACCACTACCCTCGCCGCCCGACGATCAGCCAAGATGCCCAGCCTGCGTGAACGAGACAGGCGCAACCTGTGGCTGATCCTGACCGGCGCGCCTCCCTCCGGAAATTCAGCCACGCTCTCAATCCTCAAAGCGCTTCTACTCAGTGCCATTCTCACCGTGCGGCCGTTTGCATCGACAGCCTCTCGCCGAGGAAAACCCCGACCGTGCACGACCTACGGATACGTCGTCGGCGGCTGCGGCAATGCGCGTCGGATGCAGGTATATCGTTGATGCAACGAGGGACAAATCGCGCACGGAGCGCCGCGACGCAACCCTCCAGGGGTGACCATGAGCGTGCCGGCTTACCGAGCTGTTGTGGTGAAACCTTAGTCCCGACGATGCGGCGATAGCTAGTTTTAACAAAGTGTCTGCGTGTGCATCGCGAACGGCCGCCAAGTGCCAAAAATGTGCGAGTACTGTCTGAAAATGTCGAGAACGGCTGGACCGTGAGTGAAAGAGGACCGCGTTCGTTGATGGATGCGCGACTAGCGACCGTCCGTAATTAGCCGCGATCGACGACGACCGGCGAGGGATATCCTCTCAAAAAACGAATACCGGATATATTACTGATCGATGTTATAATAAGTACGATCAGAGAAAGGTGAGTGTTTCCCTCTGTAGTTCAAATCTGATCCAATGTCACTTAAATTATAATTGCATACGAGAAAAACACAGAACTGCGATGTTACGTAAATTCAATAATCCTACAGATGCGATGGGATAATTAATCAACTAGCAAAACATTATCATAGACTCCGAATTGTCTGATTTTCTCTGTTATTTACGTAGATATCAGCATTTCGCTCATTAGCATTTTCATTCAGCCGTATCTCTCGTCAACTGATCGAGTAGGGTCAATGTTCTGTCACGAGGTGCTCTCTGTTCGTGCATCGCATGCTCTTCAACACATATACTCATGCGGGAATGTGTATTTGCGTACGCAGCACTCAATAAAATTGAAATCAATTAGGACTTCGCGTTAATTTGCTTTTTCCAATTTCTTTATCTCTAATTAAATTTCACAAAATAGATTTTTCTTCATCATACACGATTTCTCCATTTTCTTCGTTTCTCTTAAATATTGCAATTAGAAATACAAAACTAAACGAAATTTGCCGAATGTGATCTAGTTAGAAAAACATGCGAAATATTAATTAACACATAGTAAATATATCCTATGAAAACATTCATAGGATTATTATTATATTATACTTGTAAGATACACAAGTCAAAATGCATGTACATTCAGTTAGTTTTAATGTATACAACACAAAATATTCAGATAACATTCGTAAATACTTTATTAATTAAGTATTATATTAATTGATAATATTAATTACTCGTTTCATTTTCCAAAACATCGTGTACAGAGAGACTGAAAGAAACATCGGATCGTTTAATTTTATTTTATCTAACATTTACGCAACAATTATTTTAATCTAAGCTTTCAATTGTAAAATTGAATAAAAATGTGCACGTACGAGAGAGAAGTGTCATCAATGCGAGGTGATATTTCGCTAAATCCATTATTTTCTATGACGTTCAACTTCGTTTTAAAATAAGGAATGTAAAGTAGTGCTATATAATGCATTCCTCTAGACATAAAAATTTCCTAACGGAAGATCGCGCGCCCAACAAATCGGATGAAAGCCATTGTCGTTGCGTATCGTTCATAATAGTTAGGTCCGAGTATAATTGCTATTATGCTTTGCATACAGGCCTTGATATAGCACCGCGCATTTGTCTACAGGCAACTAACAATTCCAAATATTAATTTTCACAACCTCATTTTTCATTTACATGCATATTCGCGCGAACAAGCGCCATAATTGCATTTTACGTTATTTGCTCATTATCAGCAACTAAATGCTGAGCATGTAATGATGTAAATTCGATATAAATGTTGCTTGATGCTGCGGAAGCTCGTATAAAAGCTACGTTCCGATATTTATATGAAGAAAAACACAGCCAATAGATGAACAAATTGTTTTAACACAATAAAACTCAGCGACGTATATACAAAAACGTGTTATTTAACGTTACCGAGGCAAAATTGATCAAAGAAGCATTTTGCAAAATGCTTTATTGTAAATATTCTTCTTATTACTTCTGGCTCTTTTTATTATGAATAGATACTCATTCTGAAAGTATTGATCCAACAGTGAGGCTTGACGAGAATAACTCTCACTGCCTCTATTAATATCTGTTTTCAACTACCACCTTATTACACCTGTGAATAAAGAAATTATAGTCACACGTAATGCACAATTATGTTGCAGATGTAAATTAGTTGGACATACAGCGGCTCTTGGCAAAGAAAAACATATCGCTATATTTAAAGTTAATCAACGACATGGGACACGAAATAGAAGACTGATTAACTGCTGTCTATAATTTGTTAAAGTACATCTCATCGTAAGCTTTTTACCTTGTAATTGTTCAGCCTCGCATGATACAAAGACACACGTACGTTCGATTCGTAGAAAAAAAAAGACGAAGCTTCCGAATAGCGCGACGTCAGAGTCATATATCTTTCTATTTTGAATCAATACGAGATTATGTACAAAGAAAGTACTAAATGCTATTAACTTTCTATTAATCGATGTGCACTACCTCGGAGAAGGCGGGTTTTGATCGCAGATCACGTTTGCCGACCATTTTTATATACGAAGCCTTTTACTGCGACCAAATAAAGCTGAACGTTCATGCCGGTAAACGCAACATATCGTAATATCGGGGACCAATGCGAATGCTGTCGACATAAAACGCTCGCGCATGTACTCGTGTACTGTGCCGACGTAATAGAAACTTAACCGAGTCACGACTACCGAGAGAGAGTAGCTCGATATAATTTTCGACGTGAACATTACATCCAGTATAGGAAAAGGGCGATCGATACCATCGTGAGACGGGAATACCTAAAGATCGCAGAGGGTCTACAGCTCCGACGTTTATTTTTCGAGTGTTAAGTAGCGAAGTAAAGTTAGCGATAATTAGCAGGACGGCAATTAGCAGCGAACTCGAAGCATGTCGTCACTCGACAAACGAAGCGACTCAGAAGCGAAGACGAAAGTTTCTTCAACGCGTAACTCCGACATTGCCGAGTAAAAGGTCAGCCGGGGTAAAAGGGAAACCGTCAGGAAAGTGGCAGTAAGATGCCGAAAGGAAGTCCGGGAAAGGATAGCAGCGAGAATATCCAGTTGGAACCTTTGTCTAGGACGCCTAGGCGAACCGAATCTATCGACCCTGCGGAAATAGATGCAAAGGCACCGTTAAGACAAGCTTCAAGGAAGACGTGCGATTTAGGTACGTGTAACATTTTATTACGTCTCGTTAAACTTTTATCACGCGTTCTATATTAGTTATGCTTATGAACTGCGTTATGCAAGAAAATACGGAATGCGGTCCGATCGATAAAGGGGCAATTTTGAAAGGAAAAAGCAGGTGAAGAGCATCAAGTAAATCTTATTGATTGGCTACCCAGTTTCTGAGAAACTATTTCGGGTAGAAAGTAACGTGCGCGCGCTTCTTTATTGATTATGCGGGATTAATGTCGTAATGATCTACACAAAGTTTACCTACATTGTGCTCTACTCGGATGGCTCTCTTGTGCCCTCATGTTATTCAAATTTAATAAACTTAAACGCGAATACTGCTTAGGTAGATGTTTGAGATAGCGCTCCCTTGATTCTCGCGTGACCACGTAGATTGGCATACATTTAAGATTTGCAGATTATTGCCTTTCGTGACTTGCCCGCGATGTAAATCTAACTTGAGAAAATCTAAAGTTAGATATTGCCTCGGAGATGGAAGAATGTATTCGAATTTACGATCTTCGTGGTAGCCTAATAAGCTCACTTTCTTCCCTAGTTTATCGCGCCGGGTGTTTAGCTGATTACCGGAAGATCCGCCATTAACCGTACGTGTTTCGGAATTAAACCGTCCGGGGAAAAGGTCGGCGTTTACAACGTTAACGCCAGCCGATCCTTTCGGGACACGTAACTTCGGCGAACGTATTGCAGCGGGAAAGCGCATGAATGTTTCAATGCGCCTCGCCCAGCGTCGGAATCCGTTTGACCAGATACGGCATATATTTTAAAGCAGCGCGGGGATTCGCTACGACCACGAAAAATTTGAATAATTTATATTACACAACGCCTATCTTTTACGCGGTTGAGAGAGCCACGCTCGCTGTGACAGCGGGGACAAAATTGCAAGGGGTCATAAGTTCAAAAGTTCAGCCATTTATAAACATTCCCTTTCTATCTATATTCGTCAATATTGAAATTAGTCTGGGCATTATTAACTCTTGCGCTTTATCGATTCGCGGATATTATCGCCAATATACCGTTGAAAACGGTCCTCGTAAAAATTTAATTTACAAAAAGACCACGGTTTCGCCCTGCGACTAAATTTAACAAATCTTCTCTTGCTTCAAAAGTTAAATTAATTTTGTATTAAAAATTGTATTGCTCAGCTACGTTTTTTTTTCTATAACATTTAACTTTTGTTTCAAATTCCTGTTGCAACAGAGTTCATGAAAAAAAGTTTCTTCGTCAATAGAAGCGCGAATGTTGTTTCGTGAATGAATGTAATGTGATTGTCAGAGGGGCTGCGTAGAGAAAAGAAAATCGATATGGTACCCCTCGAACAAACTGATCCATTCGCAATTCGCCAGCGATTCTGATCTCAAAAGGGTCACATCTCATGTGGAATACAGTTACATGCATTTGCTTCAAATTTATACTGAATACAGTATTCTACACACTTGTACTATTTATTGCAGTTTAATACGAGAGAGATAAATTAATTAAAAACTTATATGTATATAGAATATCAAATCGGTTTGTTACTATTAATAACGTAAAGCAACATTTCAACACATGATAGAATCCAAACTAACAAATAATTTTTATTATTTTGAAATTATATTATCAATAAGTCTTAAATTTCAATTGATTGGAAACCAAAGAATTTTACGATACATAATATGTGGATTCAAATGTAAATTCGCAAAAACTTTTTTACGCACACTATAAGTACATATACTTTCTCTCTTTAATTTTGGCAAAATGTAAAAAATACGAAGCTCTCGAATTATTAATTTTCTTCTTGCTAAGCTAACAATTTTTTTTAAAGAGGTAGTGGGTAGTGAAATGATAGAGGACAGTATCTCATGTACGAAAATTCCTACTGTGTTTTCAAATATCTCCAGTCTCCCCGCACTCAAATTAAATCTTTTCGTCGCTTTTGTAAACTCAGGACAATAAGATTTTATCGCTCAAGTACAATTAGTAAAAAATGTAATATTAGCGACCC